ACAAGACAAGAACATATCGATGCCAACACAGAAGACAATGTCCAACATAACAGGCCAATTACACTGGATTAATCTTTGTGATTAGATAGGAGATGCCTCGTATGGGCCAATAAGCCTTCTGCAGCATCTATGTTTCACCTCACATTTATCCCTTATGTATCCCCCCATGTTTTCACCTTCATTGTATTATCACCTGACCCAGTGCGGGTATAAAATCAACTAGTATTGTAAGATCTGTTCACTTGAGAATGAACCATGGAGGTTCGAAACGTCGTTCAAATTATATAAATAAGTGTAATACACTCTATAGTAAATCACTTCTTTTCTTCACCTTAAAAGTACGAAAATGAGTTTTGGAGAACTCCTATTTCAATTAAGCCCTGATGCTAAGAAAATAGTTAGAGGGATAGAAGCCCTAAACCAGAAAATAATAAATACAGAATATGCGGTCATGTTCAATGAAATATATATATATATATATATATATATATATATATATATATATATATATATATATATATATATATATATATATATATATATATAACTGAAAACTCCACACCCCAGAAGGAATTGAACCCAGACAGCCAGGAGCACTATGCACCATGGCGTACTTGGTTCTTTAACAACTAAACCACCAAATCCTGGTAGTTGTGAAACTATTTATCCAAGATCCGAGAGCGCTGGGTGGTCAACTCGGGCAGAGATATTTCATCTAATCACCTCACTTGGTGGCGCCACAATATGATCCTGTGTGGGGGCTCCTTCTGGGCTGTGGAGATTTCAGTTGTATATACGCCTGGGGACCATTCAGGCTTGTTCGCATGTGTGTTGCTCATGTGTGCCCCCAAAAATGAGGTGATTTGATAAAATAAATATGTCCAAGATTACCATCAGAGCACCGTCGGGATGATGGACAAACAGCCTCGGCTTCCATCATCTTTAGAACGGTCGTGATGGTCGAGTGGGTAAGGTCTCCTATACAGAGAGAGAGAGAGAGAGAGAGAGAGAGGAGGGGGGGGGGGTATCTTCCTACCTTCTGTAGTATCCATTATTTATGTTCTTATGTATATACGCGTTTATTATAATAAAATAAGTAAACAAATAATTATAATAAAATAATAAACAAACACGTTTATAACAACATTAACAATTACTCAGGAATGACCGCACATGACCATATCTAGGGCTGAGTATATGTACATTCATCAACTGTAATATTTGTAATTTGCAATTGAAGATTAATTGTAGTGGGAAGATAATAAAAGACCAAATGAGGCGTGACTGAATTCCTTTGGGGTGGTGATATTGAACTCCTGTGGGGGTGTTATTGAACTCCTGTGGGGGTGTTATTGAACTCCTGTGGGGGTGTTATTGAACTCCTGTGGGGGTGTTATTGAACTCCTGTGGGGGTGTTATTGAACTCCTGTGGGGGTGTTATTGAACTCCTGTGGGGGTGTTATTGAACTCCTGTGGGGGTGTTATTGAACTCCTGTGGGGGTGTTATTGAACTCCTGTGGGGGTGTTATTGAACTCCTGTGGGGGTGTTATTGAACTCCTGTGGGGGTGTTATTGAACTCCTGTGGGGGTGTTATTGAACTCCTGTGGGGGTGTTATTGAACTCCTGTGGGGGTGTTATTGAACTCCTATGGGGGTGTTATTGAACTCCTGTGGGGGTGTTATTGAACTCCTGTGGGGGGTGTTATTGAACTCCTGTGGGGGTGTTATTGAACTCCTGTGGGGTGTTATTGAACTCCTGTGGGGTGTTATTGAACTCCTGTGGAGCGTGATTGAACTCCTGTGGGGCGTGATTGAATTCCTGTGGGGCGTGTTTGAACTCCTGTGGGTGTATTATTGAACTTCTGTGGGGGTGTTATTGAACTCCTGTGGGGGTGTTATTGCACTCCTGTGGAGGTGTTATTGAACTCCTGTGGGGGTGTTATTGAACTCCTGTGGGGGTGATATTGAACTCCTGTGGGGGTGTTATTGAACTCCTGTGGGGGTGTTATTGAACTTCTGTGGGGGTGTTATTGAACTCCTGTGGGGTGTGATTGAACTCCTGTGGGGTGTGATTGAACTCCTGTGGGGTGTGATTGAACTCCTGTGGGGTGTGATTGAACTCCTGTGGGGTGTGATTGAACTCCTGTGGGGTGTGATTGAACTCCTGTGGGGTGTGATTGAACTCCTGTGGGGTGTGATTGAACTCCTGTGGGGTGTGATTGAACTCCTGTGGGGTGTGATTGAACTCCTGTGGGGTGTGATTGAACTCCTGTGGGGTGTGATTGAACTCCTGTGGGGTGTGATTGAACTCCTGTGGGGTGTGATTGAACTCCTGTGGGGCGGGTTTGAACGCCTGTGGGGGCGGGTTTGAACTCCTATGTGTTGGAAATAACCAACAGTTTCATACATCTTTTGTATTTTATACAACCTTTGTATTTTATACAACCTTTCTTTGTATTAACCACAAGTAGTTACTATAATCACTAACTTGTAGATTTAATCATCATCATGATTTATATTAAACATATTGCCAGGTTCTTCCTAGTCAGAGTAACGACGTGAGGAACGACAGGCAGAAACATGAATTCTTTCCACATTTAGTTGGATATATAACAGAGTCCAGTTTATCAATTCTTTTACTAAAAATAGTTACTTACTAATAAGTTTAATTTCGCAGCATATTACTGCTTACTGGAACTCCTTTACTTAGTTCATATTAAACATTCTAGAGGAAATTATTTTAATGTAAATGATTTCACTTTAATTTCCTCGATTAGCTGCGGACTTTAATAAACCCAATTTATGTTACGCAAAGTTATATTTTAACACGAAAGAATTAAATGTGACATCAATACTCGTCACCATCTCTTCTTTCCTTAGTTAATTCCGATATATATATATATCCATTTACGCTCGAGATGTCTATCGAGAGCCGCGCATGCGCAATCGGGAAGAGGAAGAAGACGGGAGAACGTCGCCCGTCCCCACGCGACTTGGACGCCATTAGCACCGTGCAACAGACAGCTACGTCTCGATCTTGTTTATTTCGCTCCCACGACCAGTAGAGCGGTGCCACGTCATGTTGCACATCACAGCCGTGTCCCAGGACTAGTATAACTGCAATACCATAGTTAACGCCTTTCACGCAGCACTTGGAGGACGAAGGATTGCACAGTTCTCTACATCAACGGACACGCGGCTCGACAACTATTATTTCCTTTCTACTATCATGTGGCCACAGTTAACATTTAGGCTAGTTGTCGTTAGGCCGTATGTAAAATAACAAAATCCCGTACGTGTCTTCTCTAGCAGTTTTATAATCTAAATAGGCGATTATATTCATTATTTCAGTAGAAGAATTTTACAGTGCTTGAACATATATATCAATTGTTTTCCTATAGGAAGAATTCCTTAATCCAGGATGTACTTGTAGTTCGTTATGTAGAAGATTTCTACGATGTAATTGCCTTCCAGCACCGGGTCCAGGTCAACCGAGGCGCTAGGCTTCCCCACCTTCACGTGCAACAATTTGCCGGATGCAACACGTCGTCGGTGGAGCGTGGCAACTGATTACACCTCTTTAGATTTACAGCTAAGCTGTCCGTGTTTATCCGTAGTAATAACTCTGTAGTTATATTAGTGATCTCCCAAGGAGATCAATTATATTAACCCATTGATTTACCATATACTATTCAATATTCCAGTAGTATATTGAGGTGCATTTACCTCTAATTAATATTATATAATCAGCCTTATTTACTTTCATAATTTATTTACTCTGGCGAAGAACCAGCGCCAGAATAATGCTAGGGATGCATTAATCTTTTACCATGTAACCCCCAATTTTGTGCAGGTTAATTTGACTCCCTTTACATAAGAAATACAGTTTCACTAAGATTCACAGGACACTAGTTCTTGGGATCAGTTTAATTGTCTCATTTTGTTTTCCACTTTTAATCAAAAGGGGGTGGTCCTTCACAGCTATCTAATTATTTTATTTTAATTACAAATTATTGGAGTCAGATTTTCCCACACTGGGGCGGGTTTGAACTCCTGTGGGGTTGTTATTGAACTCCTGTGGAGCGGGTTTGAATTCCTGTGGGGCGTTATTGAAGTTCTGGGAGGCGTGGTTCAACCAATAGCGTTATTGAATCTCTGGGGGCGCAATTGAACATTTCATGGCGTGATTGAACCTTTTGAGGTATGATTGAACCTGTTGGGCATGATTGGACCTCCGGGGGAGGGGGGGGGCATGATTGAACAAGGGCGGGCGAGTGTTCATGTGATGGTGGCTGTTGTTCTGGGTCCCCGGCTTATGGCTCTCCACGTCGTTCTTGTCCGAGCAGTTTAGGCTATTTTATCACGTCATTGTGCCAGCTCACCCTCACTAACAAGGACCAAACCTCCCCCTTATGGATGAAATACTGTTTACACCGCCTCATAACCGCTTACAGTCGAACTCTTCTCGATTAGAGCATCGCTCGCAATTTTTTCGATTCGCACCTCATTACCTGCTTCATCCACGTACGACATATACAAGTAAGTGTGAACAAAACTGAAACATCTACCATAACCTCACATAAGTCTAACTATTCATGTAATTATTATTTTATATTCCAGAAAACGTCATTCTTTGACACTCAAATCCAACAAATGAGAGTCTTGGGGGGGGGGGGGGGGTGTCGTGGCTTGAACGGGCATAGCATGTTGCATTCTATAGCAGTTAATACGATTAATGAATATCTCTTGCTAGCTTAGTTTTTTAATAATAGTCGATAACAATTTATGTTTAATTATTTTTACAAGCATCAACTTGTGTAGAATACCGAGTCAATTCATCGGCATTCTCCCCCTTCTCATCCCCCTCTCCACTCTCCTCCTCTCTCATTCCCTCAGTTCCTCTTTCTCTTCTCTGGACGGTCAATAAAGCAATCCCCCTAAACGTTATTAATAAGAATTCCTTCCCTTCACATTCAAGACATTTTACACAAACTTTACAGGCGTTCGAGGAGCTGGAGGACTTGCTGGCCCTCAACAACATCTGCATCGCCGTCAAGGAGAAGCTGGTGAAGGACTCCGGCGTGGCCGAAGAGGCAGCCTACGACTACATCGTGCAGCGGCTCCTGCTCAAGCACAGCGCCAGAGGTGGGTTAAGAGTCTTCAGGGATCTGAGCTGTGTGTCTCACAGTTCAAGTTGCCCACTAACTATAGCTAAACGCTCCTTATCCAGCAGCCAAACTCCATATATATATATGACTGGGAACACTTGGAACACTTGACTCAAAGATAATGACGGTCCAAGTGATCTCAGTGCGGCGTTCACGTAGTTACTTCCAATCCCAGCTCTGTTGTTCAGGTTCTGTTGGCAGTTACTTGCACTTGTAGGGCGTGGATGAGTTACAGAGTTGGGATTCGAACAGAGGTCGTCAACAAATACCTGTTCTACACCTTGTCATACATCATCAATTGTGAATCATGTGTAAACCGTTTTTCATTCATAAACAGTGTGTTTGGCGCCAGGATTACGAGCACTTGGCCTTTGTTGATGAGGACGGGATGTTTGTTGATGAGGACGGGCTGTTTGTTGATGAGGACGGGCTGTTTGTTGATGAGGACGGGCTGTTTGTTGATGAGGACGGGCTGTTTGTTGATGAGGACGGGCTGTTTGTTGATGAGGACGGGCTGTTTGTTAATGAGGACGGGCTGTTTGTTGATGAGGACTGGCTGTTTGTTGATGAGGACGGGCTGTTTGTTGATGAGGACGGGCTGTTTGTTGATGAGGACGGGCTGTTTGTTGATGAGGACGGGCTGTTTGTTGATGAGGACGGGCTGTTTGTTGATGAGGACGGGCTGTTTGTTGATGAGGACGGGCTGTTTGTTGACGAGGACGGGCTGTTTGTTGATGAGGACTGGCTGTTTGTTGATGAGGACGGGCAGTTTGTTGATGAGGACGGGCTGTTTGTTGATGCGGACGGGCTGTTTGTTGATGAGGACGGGCTGTTTGTTGATGAGGACGGGCTGTTTGTTGATGAGGACTGGATGTTTGTTGATGAGGACGGGCTGTTTGTTGATGAGGACGGGCTGTTTGTTGATGAGGACGGGCTGTTTGTTGATGAGGACGGGCTGTTTGTTGATGAGGACGGGCTGTTTGTTGATGAGGACGGGCTGTTTGTTGATGAGGACGGGCTGTTTGTTGATGAGGACGGGCTGTTTGTTGATGAGGACGGGCTGTTTGTTGATGAGGACGGGCTGTTTGTTGATGAGGACGGGCTGTTTGTTGATGAGGACGGGCTGTTTTTTAACTGTATTGTTGAACATGGGACTGCCTCAGGGTGGGGACTGCCTCAAGGGGGGACTGTCTCAGGGGGGGACTGTCTCAGGGAGGGACTGCCTCAGGGTGGGGACTGTCTTAGGGAGGGACTACCTCAGGGTGGGGACTGCCTCTGGGTGGGGACTGCCTCTGGGTGGGGACTGCCTCAGGGTGGGGACTGCCTCAGGGTGGGGACTGCCTCAGGGTGGGGACTGCCTCAATGTGGGGACTGCCTCAGGGTTGGGACTGCCTCAGGGTGGGGACTGCCTCAGGGGCGGACTGCCTCAGGGAGGGGACTGCCTCAGGGTGGGGGGACTGCATCAGGGTGGAGACTGCCTCAGGGGGGACTGCCTCAGGGAGGGGACTGCCTCAGGGTGGGGGGACTGCATCAGGGTGGGGACTGCCTCAGGGTGGAGACTGCCTCAGGGTGGGGACTGCCTCAGGGTGGGGACTGCCTCAGGGTGGGGATCGACTCCCTCCAGGAGGGACTGCCTCAGGGTGGGGACTGCCTCAGGGTGGGGGACTGCCTCAGGGTGGGGGACTGCCTCAGGGTGGGGGACTGCCTCAGGGTGGGGACTGCCTCAGGGTGGGGACTGCCTCAGGGTGGGGACTGCCTCAGGGTGGGGACTGCCTCAGGGTGGGGATCGACTGCCTCAAGGAGGGACTGCCTCAGGGAGGGACTGCCTCAGGGAGGGACTGCCTCAGGGAGGGACTGCCTCAGGGAGGGACTGCCTCAGGGAGAGACTGCCTCAGGGAGGGACTGCCTCAAGGTGGGACTGCCTCAAGGTGGGACTGCCTCAGGGAGGGACTGCCTCAGGGAGGGGACTGCTTCAGGGTGGGGACTGCCTCAGGGAGGGACTGCCTCAGGGAAGGTCGACTGCCTCAGGGTGGGGACTGTATCAGGGGGGAGGGGACTGCCTCAGGGGGGGGGGGACTGCCTCAAGGGGGGGACTGCCTCAGGGAGGGACTGCCTCAGGGAGGGACTGCCTCAGGGTGGGGACTGCCTCAGGGGGGGGGACTGCCTCAGGGGGGGGACTGCCTCAGGGGGGGGACTGCCTCAGGGGGGGGACTGCCTCAGGGGGGGACTGCCTCAGGGGGGGACTGCCTCAGGGGGGGGGACTGCCTCAGGGGGGGACTGCCTCAGGATCAACCGGTGATGGAATGTTTTGACAGTTTTCGAGGAGCATTTGATATTCTCTCTCTCTCCAGTAGTCCATTCTTCCCTGTTTCTCTATTCTTTTTATCACTCCTGCCTCTCCTCCCCCTTTCGTTACCGCTGCTGCCCTCTCCAGTTTTTATTCTCTTATTCCCGTTTTTCATTAGTGTTCTCTTTCACCCTTTCTGACATCCAGGGAGAATGTTGGTAAATTATTTTGCTACACAAAAGGAACAATCCCTGTGTTAATTGGCACTGGAACTCATTTTGGGAGTCTGTAGCTCACTCTCGCTATATCTCTCTCGTTCCGCACTCACGCAATCATATGCACGCGCTCACACACACACGACGCACGCACACGCACTCGCGCGCACGCGCTCACACACACACACACACACACACACATACGTATACCATGTAAGGTAATGGAGAAGATCGTGAGAAAAAACCTAGTAACACATCTGGAGAGAAGGGACTTCGTGACATTTCATCAACATGGGTTCAGGGAGGGTAAATCTTGCCTTACAGGCTTAATAGAATTCTACGATCAGGTGACAAAGATTAAGCAAGAATGAGAAGGATGGGCGGACTGCATCTTCTTGGACTGAAGGAAAAGCCTTTGACACAGTACCCCATAAAAGACTGGTACGTAAGTTGGAAAAACATGCAAGAGTAGCTGGTAAGGTGCTCTAGTGGATAAGGGAGTACCTAAGCAATAGGAAGCAGAGAGTTACAGTGAGGGGTGAGACCTCAGATTGGCGGGAAGTCACAAGCGGAGTCCCACAGGGCTCTGTACTTGGACCTATCCTGTTTCTGATATACGTAAATGATCTCCCGGAGGGTATAGACTCATTCCTTTCAATGTTTGTTGACGACGCGAAAATTATGGGGAGGATTAAGACAGAGGACAGTATGAGGCTTCAAGAAGACCTGGACAAGCTGCAGGAATGGTTCAACAAATGGTTGTTAGAGTTTAACCTGAGGAAATGTAATGTAATGAAGATAGGTGTAGGGAGCAAGACATGAGTTACAAGGTATCATTTGGGAGAGGAAATTCTTCAACAATCAGAGAAGGACCTGGGGGGTTGATATCACGCCAGACCTGTCCCCTGAAGCCCATATCAAGAGAATAACATCAGCGGCATATGCCAGGTTGGCCAACGTAAGAATAGCCTTTAGGAAATCATTCAGAACTTTGTATACCACGTATGTCAGACCAATCCTAGAGTATGCAGCTTTAGCATGGAGTCCATATATGTTCAAGCATAAAACTAAATTGGAGAAGGCTCAGAGGTTTGCCACCAGACTAGAGCCCGAACTGAAGGGTATGAGCTATGAGGAGAAACTACGGGAATTAAACCTCACGTTGCTAGAAGACAGGATAGTTGGAGGGAACATGATTACCACATACAAGATTCTCAAAGGTATTGATAGGGGTTGATAAAAAGTTTATTTAACACATGGGACACACTCACTAGGGGACACTGATGGAAATTGAGTGCCCAAATGAGCCATAAAGACATTAGAAAGATTTTTTTAAGTATCAGAGTAGTTAATAAATGGAATGCATTAGGAAGTGATTTGGTGGAGGCTTACTCCAAACACAGTTTTAAGTATAGATATGATAAAGCCCAGTAGGCTCAGGAACCTGTACACAAGTTGATTGATGGTAGAGAGGCGTGACCAAGGAGCCAGAGCTCAACTGGGTGCAGGCACAACTTGGTGAGTGCAACTAGGTTAGTACACAGGAAGAGGAGAAGAAACACCGATGGTAAAAATACACAACGCGTTTTTTGAGATCAATTACGAAAAGAAAACCAACTACATGAAGTATGCGGCAAGAAGGTTTTATGTGGTGGTAGAGAAAGTGGGTGTTAGATGATCTACATCCCCCCCCCCCCCCCCGAGAGCCACACAAGACCATTCATTACATGAATATGAAATGAGACTTCCAGAAATATTGTGCATGGAGCGCCAGAAACACCTTAAAGATTCTGAGCAGCATTGATAGCAATGAGAAAATTAAATCTAAACCAACTTGATTAGGAAATGTGAACGTAAGACGTGACATGGACAGTAAACCTGGTAGACGTAGCAGAAAGCAACTTCATAAAAGAGTAAACATCACAGCTGTATTTATCCCTGCTGGTTGGCCACTCTGTCCAGCCAACAAAGTTTGACCAGGTGAACAAATCCACAAGGGCCGTGACGAGGATTCGAACCTGCGTCCGAGAGCATGCCAGACCAGGTCAAGCAGCCTTAATCAGATCTTTCCCCACACAACCAGATAGACATTAAAAGCACTGTTGAATAATAGTTGCAGCCTCGTATTTGTCTTCTATTACGTAGTGATGATGAATGTTGTAAGAGAGGAAGAGAGGTCCAATAAGTGGATATTGCAGTTCAACTCAAACAAGTGCAAACCAATAAAGCTTTGATTCTTGAACCGGAGGAACGACAGGCCATAAAGTGACAAAGAGAACCCTCATAGAATGAGGCTCAGTGAAATATATGCCAGCTGATATCACATCTCCCAAGGCCCAGATTACATGTTATCATGTTGGGCCAATTCTTGCCAAATATACGACGAAACTACGACGTTGCTATAACGTTTGAAAAAAGTTATAACAAATAACAAGTTGTAACAACCGACATAAGTTGTAACAACCACTATAACAAGTTGTAACAACCACTATAACAAGTTGCAACAACCACTATAACAAGTTGTAACAACCACTATAACAAGTTGTAACAACCACTTTAACAAGTTGTAACAACCATTATAACAAGTTGTAACAACCATTATAACAAGTTGTAACAACCACTATAACAAGTTGTAACAACCACTATAACAAGCTGTAACAACCATTATAACAAGTTGTAACAACCACTATAACAAGTTGTAACAACCACTATAAGAAGTTGTAACAACCATTATAACAAGTTGTAACAACCACTATAACAAGTTGTAACAACCACTATAACAAGTTGTAACAACCATTATAACAAGTTGTAACAACCACTATAACAAGTTGTAACAACCACTATAACAAGCTGTAACAACCACTATAAGAAGTTGTAACAACCATTATAACAAGTTGTAACAACCACTATAACAAGTTGTAACAACCACTTTAACAAGTTGTAACAACCATTATAACAAGTTGTAACAACCACTTTAACAAGTTGTAACAACCACTTTAACAAGTTGTAACAACCACTATAACAAGTTGTAACAACCACTATAACAAGTTGTAACAACCATTATAACAAGTTGTAACAACCATTATAACAAGCTGTAACAACCACTATAACAAGTTGTATCAACCACTATAACAAGCTGTAACAACCATTATAACAAGTTGTAACAACCACTATAACAAGTTGTAACAACCACTATAACAAGTTGTAACAACCATTATAACAAGTTGTAACAACCACTATAACAAGTTGTAACAACCACTATAACAAGTTGTAACAACCATTATAACAAGTTGTAACAACCACTATAACAAGTTGTAACAACCACTATAACAAGTTGTAACAACCACTATAACAAGTTGTAACAACCACTATAACAAGTTGTAACAACCACTATAACAAGTTGTAACAACCACTATAACAAGTTGTAACAACCACTATAACAAGTTGTAACAACCAACATAACAAATTCTCACAACTTTCTTCACATCATAAAAACGTTATAACAAGATGTAACGAGTTACTAACATGTTGTAACAAGGAAACAATCGGGTCCGTTACGCTGTGTTTGCAGGGAACCAAATAAGTTCGATAGATATTTTTTTTTTATCTTTATTTAATAAAACACAATATAAATCATATATACATAAATTTTACAAGGCAATACTACATTACATATACAGTATAATGTAGGACATTTGCAAATTTTCAAATTATAGCAAATTTTCGAATATACGTCACCAAATAGTCCACTTGTCTTTAAACATGGAGCTCGAGACCTGTCAGAGGTCACAGGACTGGTCCCGGAGTTGAGAGGCAGGAGTTAAGAAAATTGCTTTAACAAATGAAAATCAAATCACTTGAAGATATAGGGAATCCGGAGAGACATGTTCACAACACTAACAATTCTCACGGAAATACAAATGTTATTGAATCTGTGGCAAACTGACTACGGGAATCTTGAGGAAACTTGGCGCCATCTCGAACTGTAATTTTGGATAAAACAGATTCCAATAGGTACAAGCTCAACTAGGCGAGTACAACAAGGCGACCATCATTTCGGAGATGAAATTCTTCTAGAATCAGAGAGAAATACCTGGGGGTTGATATTACACTAGACCTGTCCCCTGAAGCCCATATCAAGAGGATAACATCAGCGGCATATGCATATGCCAGGTTGGCCAACATAAGAACGGTCTTTAGAAACTTGTGTAAGGAATCTTTCGGAACCTTGTATACCACATATGTCAGACCAATGCTGGGGTATGCAGCTCCAGCATGGAGTCCATTCTTGTCAAGCATAAAACTAAATTGGAGAAGGTTCAGAGCTCGGGCACTAGTCTGGTGGCAAACCTCTGCCACCAGACTAGTGCCCGAGCTGAGGGGCAAGAGCTATGAGGAGAGATTACGGGAATTGAACCTCACGTCGCAAGAAGTCAAGAGAGTTAGGTGAAGATGATCACCACATACAAGATTCTCAAAGAAACTGATACGGTAGACAGACAGTTTAACGTAAGGGGCACACGCACTAGGGGAAACAAGTGGAAATTGAGTGCCCAAATGAGCCATAAAGACATTAGAGAGAACTTTTTAATGTCAGAGAAGTTGACAAATGGAATGATTTAGGAAATGATGTGGTGGAGGCTCACTTCATACACAGTTTCAACACACCCACACATACACATACACACCCACACACCCACACATACACATACACATACACATACACACACACACACACACACACACACACACACACACACACACACACAACAAAGCTGGCCATCCCAGCTCTTCTCTCCCTTCATCATCCATCACAGGACCTGGTGGTTCGTGGCATCAAAACTGACCGACTTTCTGGCACTGTGAGGTGATCACCTCGTTCTTGGGACACCTCGCTGTGAGGTAGAGGTCACGTGACCCTTAGCTTGCCCTCAAGCTATGACCAACTCTCTAACTTGACCTGTAAGTGTTAGGACGCATGATATCATCTTGACCTCTGCTAATCCTCTTGTACCACCCGGTCTTCTGCTAAGATAACAGTTATTGCAACCTCTTGCACTTCTGTTGGAGGATAATTATCATCTTTAATTTACATTAATAGCGTTTGATAGTTCCGTACTTTAGGGGAGGCAATTCCCATATAATAATTGTTCAATGAAGGTGAAGTAGTTTTTGTGATAATTCCCCGCTACTGGCGTGATAACTCCTGGTGCTTGATGACTAAGGCGTGATAACTCCTGGTGTTTGATGACTAAGGCGTGATAACTCCTGGTGCTTGATGACTAAGGCGTGATAACTCCTGGTGTTTGATGACTAAGGCGTGATAACTCCTGGTGCTTGATGACTAAGGCGTGATAACTCCTGGTGCTTGATGACTAAGGCGTGATAACTCCTGGTGCTTGATGACTAAGGCGTGATAACTCCTGGTGCTTGATGACTAAGGTGTGATAACTCCTGGTGCTTGATGAGTAAGGCGTGATAACTCCTGGTGCTTGATGACTAAGGCGTGATAACTACCTCCTGCAGGAGTGATCATCTTCGGGTCGGACCAGGAGGTGGCGGGCGTGATGCGAGCCGTCAGGAGAAACAACGCTACCGGAACCTTCTCGTGGATCGGGTCCGATGGGTGGTCGGCCCGCTCCCTCGTGTCCTCAGGTGAGTCACTGAACCCTCTGGTGAGTTGTTGGGCCCACTAGGTGAGTCAGAGGACCCACAAGGTAGTCAAGCTGGCCCCACATGTGTATCACATATATATCCAAAGCGAGAAGGTAGACCCAGGCGAGTAACTTACTCATGAGTAAGTGTTACTCACAGATATAATGAGGCATGGATCGCCTGAGGAGACCAGACTCACTCGAGGCCTCACTCAAGGACACCTTCACTACGACTTGATGAATTAGTCAAGGATTAGCAACTCACTTGAGGACGCGTGCTCACTCACGTATTCATCACGTCACTCAACACCTGCCACTGATGATAACACCTAACAACGTCAACAATAACACCACCTAACACCTCCCCCCCCCTACAATAACACCACCTAACACCACTCACCTACAATAACATCACCTAACACCACTCACCTTGAAAAGCACCACCTAACACCCCTCACCTACAATAACACCACCTAACACCACTCACCTTGAAAAACACCACCTAACACCACTCACCTACAATAACACCACCTAACACCACTCACCTTGAAAAACACCACTCACCTACAATAACACCACCTAACACCACTCACCTACAATAACACCACCTAACACCACTCACCAACAATAACACCACTCACCAACAATAACACCACCTAACACCACTCACCTACAATAACACCACCTAACACCACTCACCAACAATAACACCACTCACCAAGAATAACACCACCTAACACCACTCACCAACAATAACACCACTCACCAACAATAACACCACCTAACACCACTCACCTACAATAACACCACCTAACACCACTCACCTACAATAACCCTGGGCCAGAATTGATCAGGTATTTACGCAACTAGTTACGAAACCCGTACATCTTTCCTCAATCATGGCGGCTGTGTTTACATTCATAAGATGTTTACCGGATGTGAAGCAATACGAGGGTGTTGTTACTACTAGTAACCTTGGCATGGAAAGTTTCCCAGCTCGTAAACTATTTAATAAATAGTTTACAAGACGCGACGATTAAGGTAAGATGTAAGGGTTTCGTGAGTTGTTGCATAAATGCTTGATAAATCCAGGCCCAGAGTTATAGTATTTCACTCGACCCCGGACCATAAAACTCGGCGGGTCCGACATGGAGGGGAAAATATTCCCAATTATAACTTTTCCTAACAACTTATCCGCTTGAGAAAGATGAAAAAGTTTGTAATATTTCTTTATCATTAAGGAATGGGGAATATGTCCGTGTCATCTACCTGCCTCACTGTCTGTCTCCCTCATACCTGACTCACTCACCTGCCTCACTGTCTGTCTCCCTCATACCTGACTCACTTACCTGCCTCACTGTCTGTCTCCCTCATACCTGACTCACTTACCTGCCTCACTGTCTGTCTCCCTCATACCTGACTCACTTACCTGCCTCATTGTCTGTCTCCCTCATACCTGACTCACTTGCCTGCCTCACTGTCTCCCTCATACCTGACTCACTTACCTGCCTCATTGTCTGTCTCCCTCATACCTGACTCCCTTTCCTGCCTCATTATCTTCCTCATACCTGACTCACTTGTCTGCCTCATTGTCTGTCTGTCTTATAACTGACACCTCTCCTGTCTGCTTTACACACCTGGCTCTCTAAGATGGCAGACGAGACACTCAACAGACTGCCCCAGCCACCAAGGAAACATAGGCGATTGGACGGTTACAATGGACATATGGGCCCATAAGCGATGTGCTTCACTTTCACCTTATCCTCGACTATAAATCGAGGAGCATTAACACCTTGTAATGAGTTACAGGTCATGCATGCCCGTGCCACATCTTGGCTGGCTTAATCTTCATCAAACAATTTAAATGTAATGATTCAAACTTTGTCTTTGAAAATGTAAACATGAGTTAACCAAACATGTTTCTTAGCATCAGGTTAAATAATATTATAAAATGCACTTTGCAGAGTTCATTTTTCCACTTCCTGCTCACGTCAATAACACGAGAGAAAACTCGCACTAAAATCATTGATATCACGCTATCATATTCACTAACATGTCTACACGCCCGCTACCAGTATATCTACCAGTATAAGAAGACCGCTACCAATATAAGAAAACCGCTACCAGTATATGAAGACCCCCTTCCAGTATATCTACCAGTATATGAAGACCGCTACTAGTATATCTACCAGTATATGTATAGTCCCAGTACTCACCTGCCTCCCCTCTCTCCCCCCTCTACAGGCAACGAACTGGAGGTCGAGGGAACACTCTCCGTGCAGCCTCAAGCCAACCCAGTCCGGGGGTTCGACCAGTACTTTCTGAGCCTCACTGTCGAGAAGAACACCAGGAACCCATGGTTCGTCGGTGAGTGTGCCTTCACACAAATGTTTGCCTGTTATCTCGCACTTTTAATAATATTTTTTTCTAGTTTTTTATATACATATTTATTTAATTAAATATTGTGTATTATTTGGTATTTGGTAAAATATATTCATCGAGCAGTGAATGTATGATTGTGTATGTGCAGGATCGTATAAGCCTAATCATACAGTTTGGATGCTCAAACTGGGTTGGGTTCACAGATCATTCACATTGAGGCTTTATATGGTCTATGATTTGAAAAAAAAAATCTTTGATGGTTTTCTGTATTCCGTTTCGACTATCAAACTATGGGGCCTCTTTGCTTCTCTTTGTATAAATGTTCAGAAAATGTTTCAATTCTCATCAGTCTCAAAAACTTTTATTTTTGTCTGTTTTTCTTCCTTTTCCTCTGTCTTCCAAATGAGGCATTTCCATTCACTTGTGTTTACATAGGTAGACTGTGTGTGCTTCTGAGAGTCACGTGATTGTTCGTTACTGGTTATTCTGTAGTTTTTCCAGGTTTAAATACGGGCACTATACTGGCTGCACACCACGGAGTGGGTATGATATATGTTAGGAATAATTTAGCAACCATATATATATATATATATTATTAAATATGACCGAAAAAGTAAGATTAATAATTCTAACACGAATTTTCTCAATCTTTCGTACATTTCTTTTCACTGTTGGTGGTAATTCAAAAATCAATTCTCCAAAATTCATTTTTATTTATTTGGAGAATTGATTTTTGAATTACCACCAACAGTGAAAAGAAATGTACGAAAGATTGAGAAAATTCGTGTTAGAATTATTAATCTTACTTTTTCGGTCATATTTAATAATATATGTCTACAGGAAAGACTGCTACCAAAATTAATATATATAATATATATATATATATATATATATATATATATATATATATATATATATATATATATATATCGTACTTAGTAGCCAGAACGCACTTCTCGGCCTACTATGCAAGGCTAGATTTCCCTAATAGGCCGAGTCATTTTCTATACTTAAAAAAAAATCAATTTGGTTTATTTGAATTAGTATTATTATATTAGGAACACATAATGTTATGTTAGTTTAGGTTAGGTTAAGATAGGTTAGGTTAGATTAGGTTGGGTTGGTTAGGTTCGGTCATATATCTACGTTAGTTTTAAATTTAAAAAAATAAACTCATACACAATGAAATGGATAGCTCTTTCATTTCATAATAAAAAAAAATGAAAAATATATAAATTCAGGAAAACTTGGCTTATTAGGCAAATCGAGCCTTGCATGCCGAGTATTGCATTCTGGCTACTAGGTACAACATATATATATTATATACATATACTATATATATATATATATATATATATATATATATATATATATATATATATATATATATATATATATATATATATATATATATATATATATATATATATATATATATATATATATATATATATATATATATATAGCCAGAGCTTAGCCAGAACGCACTTCTCAGCCTACTATGCAAGGCCCGATTTGCCTAATAAGCCAAGTTTTAATGAATTAATGTTTTTTCGACTACCTAACCTAACCTAACCTAACTTTTTCGGCTACCTAACCTAACCAAACCTAGAAAGATAGGTTAGGTTAGATTAGGTAGGGTTGGTTAGGTTCGGTCATATATCTACGTTAGAGGCATTTGAGCGGAATTCTGTGTTGCGTTTCACTTACGAGATGGAGAAGGATGGGAAGCTGCCCTTTCTAGATGTAACAGTCATGGAAAGGAGCGGAGGTTTCCACACTGCAGTCTACACTAAGGAAACAAACATAGGAATGTGCCTAAATGCCAACAGTGACTGCCCAGACAGGTACAAGAGGAGTGTTGTTAACGCTTATGTCGACCGTGCTCTCAGCCACAGCTCAGGATGGAAGCAAGTCGACGAAGAACTCTGTAGGGTAAGGCAGGTCCTAGTCAACAACGGCTTCTCCAATGGTTTCGTTGAAGACATCATAAGAAGGAAAGTGAAACGCCATGCAACCTCTGAAGAGACAACTAACACAACACCTATACCCCCTATTAGACTATTTTACAGGAACTTCTTTTCCACAGCTCATAAAACGGAGGAAAGGGTCCTGAAAGATATTGTTAATAGAAACGTTATCCCTACAGACAAAAATCAGAAGATACAACTGACGATTTACTATAAAACCAAAAAAACGGCCAGCCTACTCATGAGAAACTCTCCAGACACAAAGCAGAACGCTTTAAAAGAGACCAACGTCGTCTATGCCTTCAAATGCCCTCTTGGGGACTGTAAGCCTCAAAAAACTCAGTATATAGGCAAGACAACAACATCTCTTTCCAGGCGATTAACGATGCATAAGCAACAGGGCTCCATTAAGGAACATATAATCTCTTCCCACAACCAAACCATCACCAGAGAAATCTTAGCAAACAACACAGAAATCATCGATAGATACAGCGATAGCAGGCGGCTTGACATCTGCGAGGCACTACACATCAAGAAGTCAACACCAGCAATCAACAGCCAATTAATGCACAACTATATTCTACCCACTTCAAGACTCCGCTCCAATATAGAAGCATCAAGAAATATGGGCCAATAGGCCCTCTGCAATTACTTCCATTCTTACCTTCAATACCCACTGTTTCGTGTTCTGTCCTGTGTTGAAAGTTTTGTTCACCTCATCCAAAACTGTTGTAACATATCACCTCACCCAAAATGGGGGTATAAAATGAAAAATGAAAGCTGTTTAAATCATAGCATAAACTCTGTTTAGTGTTTGCAGGTAATAGTTGTGTGTGTGTAAACTAAAAGTCTTTGAAAATGTAATAAGTTATTACGAAACGCGTTCAAGTGTCGCGTCAGACTAGAAATAAAAATGAATTTTGGAGAATTGATTTTTCAATTACCATCAACAGTGAAAAGAAACATAAGAAAGATCGAGAAAATTCGTGTTAGAATTATTAATCTTACTTTTTCGGTCATATTAATATATATATATATATATACCATATATATATATATATATATATATATATATATATATATATATATATATATATATATATATATATATATATATATATATATATATAGTATATTTTGGTAGCAGTCTTTCCTGTAGACATATTTTATTAAATATGACCGAAAAAGTAAGATTAATAATTCTAACACGAATTTTCTCAATCTTTCGTACATTATGCTTCACTGTTGGAGGTAAATCAAAAATCACTTCTCCAAAATTCATTTTTATTTCTAGTCTGACGCGACACGGGCGCGTTTCGTAAAACTTATTACATTTTCAAAGACTTCACAAATACACAACTGATTAGAACTTGCGTTTCCCTGATTTTATATCTACATTTGAGTGAGGTGGGAAGGGTGATGTGGCATTACATTTGAGTGAGGTGGGAAGGATGATGTGGCATTAGAGGATATTAATAGGGTATTAAAAGTATCAACACAAGACAGAACACGAAACAATGGATATTGAATAGAAGTGTTTGTAGAAAGCCTATTGGTCCATATTTCTTGATGCTTCTATATTGGAGCGGAGTCTTGAGGTGGGTAGAATATAGTTGTGCAATAATTGGCTGTTGATTGCTGGTGTTGACTTCTTGATGTGTAGTGCCTCGCAAACGTCAAGCCGCCTGCTATCGCTGTATCTATCGATGATTTCTGTGTTGTTTACTAGGATTTCTCTGGCGATGGTTTGGTTATGGGAAGAGATTATATGTTCCTTAATGGAGCCCTGTTGTTTATGCATCGTTAAACGCCTAGAAAGAGATGTTGTTGTCTTGCCTATATACTGGGTTTTTTGGAGCTTACAGTCCCCAAGTGGGCATTTGAAGGCATAGACGACGTTAGTCTCTTTTAAAGCGTTCTGTTTCGTGTCTGGAGAGTTTCTCATGAGTAGGCTGGCCGTTTTTCTGGTTTTATAGTAAATCGTCAGTTGTATCCTCTGATTTTTGTCTGTAGGGATAACGTTTCTATTAACAATATCTTTCAGGACCCTTTCCTCTGTTTTATGAGCTGTGGAAAAGAAGTTCCTGTAAAATAGTCTAATAGGGGGTATAGGTGTTGTGTTAGTTGTCTCTTCGGAGGTTGCATGGCTTTTCACTTTCCTTCTTATGATGTCTTCGATGAAACCATTGGAGAAGCCGTTATTGACTAGAACCTGCCTTACCCTACAGAGTTCTTCGTCGACTTGCTTCCATTCTGAGCTGTGGCTGAGAGCACGGTCGACGTATGCGTTAACAACACTCCTCTTGTACCTGTCAGGGCAGTCGCTGTTGGCATTTAGGCACATTCCTATGTTTGTTTCCTTTGTGTAGACTGCAGTGTGGAAACCTCCGCCCTTTTCCATGACTGTTACATCTAGAAAAGGCAGCTTCCCATCCTTTTCCGTCTCGTAAGTGAAACGCAGCACGGAACTCTGCTCAAATGCCTCCTTCAGCTCCTGCAGATGTCTGACATCAGGTACCTGTGTAAAAATGTCGTCAACATACCTGCAGTATATGGCCGGTTTCAAGTTCATGTCGACTAAGACTTTTTGCTCGATGGTACCCATGTAGAAGTTTGCAAACAGGACACCTAGGGGAGAACCCATAGCGACCCCATCTACTTGCTTATACATATGCCCATCCGGGCTCAAGAAGGGTGCCTCTTTAGTACAAGCTTGGAGTAGTTTCCTCAGAATACTTTCTGGCATGTCAAGAGGAGTACAGGCTGGATCACGATACACTCTGTCGGCTATCATTCCGATTGTCTCGTCCACAGGTACGTTGGTAAACAGCGATTCTACGTCCAACGAGGCTCTTATCCCTGTGGCCCGTGCGCCCCGCAGTAAGTCCACAAATTCCTTTGGAGACTTCAGGCTGAAGGCGCAAGGAACATAAGGAGTCAGCAGGCCGTTGAGTCGCTTTGCCAATCTGTACGTGGGTGTGGGTATCTGGCTAATGATTGGCCGAAGTGGGTTTC